GGGTCACCACTACTTTTCATTTTACTGCCTTACTAAAGTACTCACAGCGGCTTACTTTGTACAGTTTATTACTAACTTCCAATTAAACTGAAACTGCATAGGTCAACCATGGTGTGCAACCCTTTTGAGATTGGGGGTAGAGGTTTACAGTATAGTGGAATGGCAAACTTTATTTAAGAATTCAAAAGAGGCTCAGAAATGTCAGTCCAGCCACAACTATTCATGAACTTTTAATGATTTTTGTGCAGAATCGAGCACTACTGCCCAATATTTTACAAGGTTACTTCAGCAAAAAGAACAGGGGACTTCCATACTGTACATGTATTCTTTTTGTAGCAGGGTTACCGGCACTGCCAATTACTTGACAGTACACACTTCACCTAGCTTTACAGATCTTGTGGGATTTGGTTTGTGTGCGATTTACTCCTCGGTGCATTTAAATGAAGTGTTCCAATGGACCTGTAGAGTCTTTGTTTTCTCAAGTGTTCCAATTTTCCGACCTACTGTAGCTTAGCATGAGACCTAGTTATTCAGTCAGTCAGAAAATGTACCATCTCATTGCATTTGCCATTGTTGTAGTGTTCAAGATGAGTTTGTAACTTACATGAGCTGGAAATGTATTACAGAGCAAAGGAATCTGTGGATATAGATTTTATTGGTTCAGAAGAACACTGTGCATCAGGGACGAATTATGCTGTTTTATAAAAGGTATTTGCTTTATATAACGCTCTTTAACCTGCGTTCAAGGGCCCATAGTGGCCTATTTTCTGATCTATGTAATAATGTTGTTTCCTTATCAAAGGCATACTTGGAGTTTTGTTTCATTCACACAACCCTGTGTAATTACTTTTAAACTCCTTGCACCTTCACTAGGATCATTTGGATAATTTCACCCCTGGATTTGCCAGTCTCTTAACTGGAAAACTACCACTACATGGCACCACATCAGAAGGTGGAACAGAGCATTTTGAGCTTTGAAGATGTAGACAGATTAATAATAAAGGATTTCTCAAACATGTGTATGTTTTTGATGATAACGACATTACAACATGGCTTAAAGCTCACCAGAGTCATTTTGCGTAATATAGGACCTTTAAAGGGGCAGTCTGTAATTTTGGACATAGGACCTCATTTCCTAGTGAGCCAGAGTGTTGGAGATAAGTGGAGACACTTTTAAAAAAATATTTCATCCAGTCCTTGTATTTGCAGAGGTCGCTGGTGCTAGGCTAGTGCATGTCAATGGCCATAGTTAGCCTGCCACTAAAAACAGTCTTACCCACTCCACAAAGCACTCGAAGCGAATCTGTTATTATGCCAGACTATCAATGTGAATCTCTGTGTTAATAGAATAATGTTTGAAATAAAACTAACCTTGCATTGCATGAACCATCCCATGTCGCTATTTTCTCAGCAGCAGCGGAATTTTAGTTTGCCGGTAAGATAGGTGCTAGGTGATATCAGTTTGCTGCTGCTGCTCAGACATAATTCCTTCAAATGCAAGGTTGGTTTTGACTTCTAAAATTATTCTATCAACACAGACATTTACATCGACAGTCTGGTGTAATAACAGATTTGCCTCGGGTGTTTTGTGGAGTGGGTAAGACTGTTTTTAGTGGCAGGCTAACTATGGCCATTGACATGCACTAGCCTAGCACCAGCGACCTCTGCAAATACAAGGACTGAATGGAATATTTTCAAAAAGTGTATCCACACGTCTCCAACACTCTGGCTCACTAGGAAATGAGGTCCTATGTCCAAAATTCCAGACATTATTCATTCACTCCATATTTGGTGGTGGTAACCTTCTAGCCACAGCTTCCCTCGTAAAGACTGATGGAAGGCTGCCAATCCTCTGACACTCACACATAACATTCATACTAGGCAAGGTGGGTGAAGTGTCTTGCCTAAGGACACAATAACATTATTAAATTAACGTTGTGATCATTCTAACATGTATGAGTGATTATAATTGGCACTTTTGTGATATTGAGAGCTTACTTGATTTATTTTTTATTTTTTTCCTATACCTGTTTTTTTTCTCCATGCAGTGCTCTTATATTTATAAAATAGGACAGTTACTTGAATATGCTGTCTCACTTTTATCATAACACCCTTTTCAAATGCACACACTGAAAACTGCATATTGCTAGCTATAGGATACGCCTGCCAAATGTAGAGCTTGCTCCTTTACCACCACAATACATTCACTCCTACACCTGTGAGTTATGTAAAACCACTGTTCCAATATAGATGCTCTTTCATTGGTACAAACATTAAATCTCCCAAGTTCTAACATGTTTTTCCCCTTTCTCTCCGGTTATATTAAACCGTCTGTTTTCCCAGACACCCAAGGCTTGTGTATGGATCACTTCTTCTCATCTTGTGCTCCTGTTTGTGTGGCCCCTACTATTTGTGCCAAAGCTCACAAAGTCTTTTGTTGCCGTCACAACTGAGCTGGAAGAGACAGCAAAGCTTATTATCAACACAGCTGCCAGTTTTGAGGTGTTTGAGGTAGTAGACAGTTGATAAAGAATGTCATTGTGGCAAAATAGTAAAGTTACACAAGCGTACCACTCGCTGCCAAAAACAATGTGGTATTTTGAGATTTGCTTAATGGCGCATTCTTCCAAGACTTGAGGCATGCTTAAATGTGCACTAACATTGCTATTGAGAGGTATGCCACACTTGTCTCCATGGAGATGTTATTGCACTGGAATGTTCCCCAGTATGATTTAAACGCATCTATCTTGTATTTAACCAGTTACATGCCTTTTTATGGCTCAGAAAACCCTTAAACTTCTCCACAGATCTGTCCCAAAGCTGGCCTGGTGGCGCCACCTGCTTGTCTCCATGGAGATAGATAGGTTTAATGCCATACTGTGTTACATTTCAGGCAAAGCAAACATATTTTCATGAGCATAAGCAGGTGACAGACCCTCCACCAGAAAAGTTACTTAGTACAGCTTTTTGTCGTAGAGGGTTCAGCACATGCTTGACTCAATGTAGATGTTATTGTTTTTTCCTGGAATGTTTTACAGTATGACATTTAATTTATAATAATTATCTCCATGGAGACAAACAGGTCACGTCACCAGAACAATTTACAGGTCAGATCTGTGGAGAAGTGGACCTGCTCACAATAATAATGTATGTTTTTGCTGTAGTTTTGAGCAATAAAAACACCTGTAATTGAATAAATATTTGTTAAATGTCATGCTGTAGAACATCCCAGGCAAAGCAAACACATCTCCATGCAGACAAGCAGGTGGCAGATCCTCCACCAGAAAAGTTACTTAGTGCTGCTTTAAGTTCACACATTTCACATTTTAACATTTCACCATCACACTGCATTTTTGTATAACTAGATTCATCGCGGAGGTGTGGTGTTGGAATGAATTCTGGTCAGGGAATCTGCATGCTCCGTAGTGCTTGTTAAGGCTGCATTAAACAGCCCGGAGTAGTGGCTGTATTAGCATAGTCATTGGTTGCTGTCTAGCTGAGTCTGATAGAATATGAGGGATGGACAAAGTAATTGCAGAACTACTTTTACACGGGAAGATCATTTTAGGATCTCTCAACAAAAATAAATGATGAATGGTGTGATGAAGAAACCACAAATTAACATAACCTAGAGGCGAAGTTATTTTTCTGATGTGAGACAAAATAGGGAGTGGTTTGGAGGTTATTTTTAGCACTGAGCTGGCACATTTTCATTTATTTCACCTTTTTATTTTTGAATGTTGATGCATTTGACCATCCATCATTGACGGATGATGGATGGGTTTAGTGTTTTTTAATCTTACTTTTTATTGCCGCCTATTGTTATGAGAGAGTGTGAATACAATGTATAAACACTACATGTCTCTATTGTTGTTCTTAATTATACCATTTTATTGCTTTATCTGAACTCTGAATACGTGATTTCATATTTTAACAATAGAACAATGAGATACTAATCTGTTAAAGGTCATATCTTGTGAAATTTAAGCCATATAATAATGTTGTTACCTCCTCAGAAACATACCTGGAGTTGTGTTTTGTTTCAGTCATATATTTGAGTAACCCTATTATTAGTCTGTCTACGTCTCCAAAGCTCAAAATGTTCTGTTCCATCTTGTGATGCCATGAACTGATAGTTTTCAAGTTAACCATCTTATTCAGCAGAGATGGGCAATTCCAGGGCTGAAATCATCCAAATGATTCTAGTGAAGGTGTATGGAGTTTAAAACACAGTGAAACTCTTCTTGTATGACCTCATGACATCACAAGGTGGAAGTGTTTTCAGTGTGTTTAAATGTGTGAATGAAACAAAACACAACTTTTTTTTTTTTCAAAGTTTTTGATTTGGAAACAACATTATAACAGAGATCAAAAATAGTGTAATATGAGTCCTTTAAGATCTACTGATAAATACAACTAATGACTTTTGTAATGATAACAAATGAATAGTATTTACTTAGCTTTGACTTCTGATTGTGTGGGCCATTCGCACATTACACTATACTATTTCTCTTTTTCTTTTCTTTTTTTTGAAAGTACACTTCTGCCAAATAATGAGCAAGTCATGGTACTCGCTGCTACTGCACTTGGCACTGTTAAGTCGTTATAAAGCTACTCACAAGTGCATCGGGCCATTGGATGTGTCTGTCTTCCAGAATGTAGCTCCCATCGTCTCAGTGTGGGGCTTAGTAAATGAATGAGTGGAGGAGTGCTATTATTTCATTTCCTGCCCTGGCGTCACTGTAAATGAATTGGCGCTCTGCAGATCTTCTCTTCCCCTAAGGAGGGCAATCACCAGTTTCCACAAAACACCTAATCATATTGCATCTTCCTGTCAGGACTTAACATAAAAGCTCTATAGGATTAATAAGGCTTTTTCCTCACTGTGTGAATGGGGCTGAAATCCCTCTGCTGCCTCCCTTCACGAGCTGTTGTCTGTTGTGTTTGTATTCTTCTAAGACAGGTTGTAAGTACTTTGCTTCTTATTTTTCTATTTCCAGCCAGGATTTATGAAAGTGGCGAATATCTTAACATCACGGCTATCACACGGGACCAGGCCGGGAACTACGAATGCAGCGCTCTAAATGACATCGCCTCTTCAGTCACCAAACATGTAAAAGTTACAGTCAACTGTGAGTATGTTTCTTCTTTTCTTCTTCTTTTACTCTTGTTTTTTCTTCAGCCTTGGATATAACAAAAGAACACTGCATTTAAAGTTGTGATATTTGTTCTGGTATTGAACATAGCATGAGGTGGAATGTTCTGCAACTGCTTTAAACATACATAAGCACTAACTTATTGTGTATGTTTTTCATATTTTGTTGGAAATTAGTTTAGTCTGTAGCCCAGCATAACAGATATTATCTCGGCGATCTCATCAGGGACATTTTAATTGTTTGCGTTCAAGCTTGTGACCGTCTTTATACAAAGGAGTAATGGAGGCGGCAAGTCCAACTGGAAAAATATCAATTCCAACTGTTGGCGACAGATTCTGACTCCACACAACAGCAGAAAACGATAACAAAGAAAGACTGGGCTGTGAAGGAAGGAAGAAAGCTAAGTCTACATGCACAGATTTGTAAGAGGAGAGTAGAAAGTAGTTGTTGACTAAAGAGGGTAATTGGCACCATTTTCAGTCAAGACACTTAAATGTGCTCTATCTACTCTACTTTTCTGCTGGAGGGTCTACCATATGTTTGTCTCCATAGAGATGTTATCACTTTGCCTGGAATGTTCCACAGTATAGTAATAAACTTGAAGACAAGCACATGACATCAGATCTGTGAAGAGGTGACCCTGTCCAGTACGTGTGCATATTTTAATGTTATTTTTGAGCAATTAAAACATGTGTAATTGAATAAATAGAATACAGGTTGGTTTAATGGCATACATTCCAGGCAAAGCACCACTCCACCAGAAAAGTTACATAGCGCACCTTTAAGCAATAAAATATTACCATTACCAATAACATTCTCATTATTACTTTGGATGTAGAGTGATGAAAATTGAATTCAAAAACACCAGGCCTGCTCCACTCATTGTAATCACCATACTCTGTCTCATTTGTCTTTGCTTGGTTCCCATTGGCCATCAGATACAAGCTCACAGTCTCATCATTACATCCCCGACTGTGCACCTTAATGGAAGTCGGACACGGCCAAAGTTTGAAGTTTCTTAATATTTAATGTGAGAATTCCCTTTTTGTCCCGTGTAGGTGATTAATTCGTGGTGAGGAAAGGTCTGACTGTTCTAAGCACTATTCCATTATGCAGGTAATGAGTCTTTCAAAAGTGCGCACAGACAGTAATGGGGAGCCAGAGCATTAATGAATGATATGGGCCTGGGCTGTCATAGTCACATGGTCTGAGGGACAGCACAAGACAATTATCATATTCTTCTTTATTTGAAAAGTACTTTTTTAACTTTACTGTTATTCAATGGGAGTTCTGCATAGACTTTCTGTGCTAAATCTTACTTTCACTCAGGCAGACCTAAAGAGACCAAAGAGGGCAAAGTTAAAAGCTCCTCCTGGTCCACTTATCTTGCCATCTCCCAGAAGCTAATCATGCAAGTTTCCATATTCAAATCTAAAGTAAGGAGTCATTTTTATTTTATATGCCGCTATGACAACTTAAATCTTATCTTGGAATAATCTGCTAATGGTTGCACTCAATTCCTACCTCTGTGTTTTACTCTTTTTTCATAGTCATTCTTGTGGGTATTTCCTATGCAGCTAATGAGCAGAAGGTTCAGTCGGGCTATTTTTAGTGCGATTGAGGCACAAGTTCAAGGAGAAAAGAGCTCTACCAACTGGCAGACTTTATACCACAACAATGGAGATTCAGGGTGATTGATAAGGCGTGTTATAGTTGGGAGTCACATTTTAAAGTGGGACAGGCAGTGCGCGCTGGGTATCCACAGTGAATGAATAGAGTACAGACGTCAGACAATGTCACCAGCGGTCAAGCTCTGAAGTCGGTATTTGGCTGCAGTTTGAGCCCATACTTACCCTCCGGACGCACTTATCTGACACAGACACAACCACCCTACCATTATTTTATAGTCCAGCTAATCCTTTTTTAGTATTGTGTGTTATCAAAGGACTTGAGCATTAGGGAAATTGGTTTCTGATTGGCTGTTTAATTTCTGCTTATAAAATGGGAATAAATTGTTTGCCATATTACATCCGGTGTTGCAGCCGTGTCAGCTGAGTCAGTGACAATAAATTTATCAGGCAAGCTAATGGGTTTAATGGAAATTGTCAGGGAATGATTCGGCCTGGGAACTGTATGTTTATGGAATGTACAAGTATATTATGAGCAAAAGGAAAGACACGTAAAGAATATTCAAAGTACATTCCAGTGAATATTATTAGAATTGCCATTTTAAAAGGATTCAAAGAAGACAGCAGTCTTATTTTGCATTTATAAACTACTTGAAGTATCTTGTTCCTCTGTAGTCATTAAACGTCAAAGATCTCTCTCAACTGTAACCCAGCCAATAATTTGTTGTGACAAACTCTTAATAGCAACAACATACAATAAAAATCTTCTATAGGGGCAATTGCACCATAAAATAGTTGTAGCTTCAAAGGCAAATTTATTTAATTTTTTTTATGGTCTTAGTGATCTGGGTCTGGCTCCTTAGCCTTTGAAACTGGGTACCTTTTCTCTTCTGTACCTATAGTGAACTTAGATGACTACAACTGACAAAAACATTTATTTACAATCTTAAATTGATGAATTAATAAAATAATTTAGTCAATATTTATAATAAACCAATACAATAAGTACCTTATTACCATGTATTGAGGATATAACAAAGGCCACATGTTCCATGATTGTTACTGATGATGCCAAGCCCCTGTCATGATTTATGGCGTGAAAGACCCTATTAGTCAAAATCATTTTAGGTAAGCAATTAGTTAAAGCTAATGTAGCTGAAGAGACAGCTTGTGTCCACAAGGTGTAAATCTCCGCGCCGCAGCACTTTAGTCACCAAATATTGCCTGATTTACGACAGTCTGCATGAGCTATTGCCACAAAGTAAGTGACTTCTCTGCCCTCACAAGTCCTCACAGTTGGGCACGCTGGTGTTTTATGGAGCTGTTTAGCATTCCAAATGGTGGCCCGGCTATGAGACCTGCATAAACAAAACTGCCTCTGACATGAAGGGAGCTGTGGTTGTTAGCAAAATTGCCATCAAGGACCTAACTACCGCTAATTTGACCGTATGTTGTTAAGCCAGAACACCTATCCAGTGTCCAATAGGCCTGCGTGACTTCTTTCTCACTTGTTGTGGAAGGGTCAGGACAAATGAGTCAAAGTTTGGAGTCAGACTGCTCCAGCCGGCACAGGCTTATCCAGATGGCATCCACTCTTCACTGCCCCTCCTCCTCCTCAGCGCACCACTGGCCTTGCTCAGCAGCGGGAAAAGAGAGAGGCATTTGGTCCAATCCCTAATCTCCTGTATCATTCATGCTCCACCATCACACATCTGCGTCTCGCCGTGCCATGGCTGGAATTAAGATCGAGGAGTTAGCGGACAGACACAGAAAGAAGACAGATAAGTTACATAGCCAGATAATTTGGGGAATTTTCTGGCATTAATTAATTTGACCAATAAGGGTGAATCACTCTTTGGCTGTCAATCTGTAGTTTACTTTAAAGGTGCACTGCCAACGTTTCTGGTGGTGGGTCCATTATCTACTTGTCTCCATGGAGTTGTTCTTGTTTCTCCTGAAATGTTCCATGGTATGACATTAAACATATCCATCTAAAATGTATTCATTACGGGTGCTTATATTGCTCAAAAATACAATGATTCCTTCTTTGAATGGGCAACTGTCCACAAATCTGAACTGTAATGTAGTGTAGTGCTGTAACCTGCTTATTCCCATGTAATAGATAGGTTAAATATATACTGTGGAAAATTGTAGACAAAGCAATAACATTTCCATGGAGACAAGTAGGTGATGAACCCTCCACTAGAAATGTTATGCACTGCACCTTTAATATTGAATTGCATCTCCTCAAAAACAGGTAAAATAACCATTATGTGTGCACTTTTTGTATGGCATGGATTGGTCTCCATAGGTTGTATCAGTCTGACAATTGTTACTCACTGACTCTCTTATGTGTTTTGTGATCACAGCAAAAACTTTGATCTTTGATAATCCTGCGTGGATTTTTCTTAGCAATAAAAAAAATACACCGTAGCAACATGATGACACTGGAGTTTCTAGGAGTTGTATTTACGCTGATACTGTACATATATACAGTACATATTGATCAGGTGTTGTTATCCTTCTTGTTAATTGCAAGTCCATTAAATCAGGTCACAAACATAAATCCTGCATACCAGATATTTTACCATTTTATTTTTCTAATGCGACGACTTGGGAAACAGCCACAGTGACATTTGTGGGTTAACTCGCTAATTAAATACATGTCCAAACAATTTCTTTCTCCATCCAATACAATTGCCTTTTTTCAGCTAAGAGTATAGTTGACCTCTGGGCTAATTGCAGATTAAGGCCTCTAATTAAAATAAGCAAACCAGAGTAATGAAAACAGAATTAAGCCTTGGCACGTTTGGAGTTTTAATAACAGCAGACCTTCTCAAACACTAAGCCTGCCATTTGGCTTTGTATGATAGGATGGCTTATTTCAGTGTGCGGTCAATCCTACTGTCTAATGTTTCAACAATTCATCAGAATGATCATAACTAGTCAACTATTCAAAAAAATCATAATCATATTTTAATGACAGTTTATCATTACCTAGACTACAGACTCTAAAACTCATGTCAAAAATCCTTTTATGTATCAGTTTTATGTAGCACTTTTCTGAACACTCAAAGACACTTGACAGAGCATTATTCATTCACTCCACACTCGGTGCTGGTAAGCTACTATTAGAGCCACAGCTGCCCTGGGACAGACTGGCGCAAGACTGCCAATCTGCACCATCAACCCCTCCGACCACCACCATCACTCACACACACCATTTTCTACGCATTGTGGGTGAAGTGTCTTGCCTAAGGACACAACAACAGTTTTTGCAACTGCTGCCCCACTGTGGCAGCTGATTTTCCCAGTGGTCTCCCATCCAAGCAGTAACCAGGCCCAGCC